AATTTATTAAACATGAGTAATAAGTATATGGTATAATAGTATTGATATTGGTATAATTAGAAAAAATCGATTTGAATCGTTATTTGATATTAATCACTACTAATCGAATTTTTTTTAACTGATATATATCGATTACTAACTAACTCGATAGTCATCATCAGGGGGTATTTATATTGATTACTATCCAATAACCGATTAACATCGATAGTAATCCTCTTGCAAATTTTGGTGATGTGGCCTATCCTATTTAATGCATTATAACTTTTTGTCTCAGACTCTGCATTATATATGAAAAAATGTTTTCAAAGTATTTTAAAGTTTGTAATGCTTCAAATTATTCATATGACACTTATATATTTTTTTTTTTCAATGGTAACTGCTTTATTATATCTAAATAGTTAAGTTATTACAAAGTAATACAGTAATCTAGTACATATATTTCTATATATTCCGGGTTCCTCCTTTGTGAGATTACAGTTTCCAGACTACTGCATCTCTCACTTATGCATAAAGCTTCACTTAGCTGCTTTATAGTGCCCAAATGTAACCGTCTAGCTACAGACTTTTCTCCTCTTTGGTCCCTAACTTGCTAGGAGATTACTCTCCAAATCAATAGATGGCCATGCTCATCTATTTTAATTTGTATATATCTTGCTATATATACTACTATACAATGTCTATTAGTTATAATCTATCTCTCATCACTTATTACATTACTTCTAATTTGTTTCTTGTATAATTTCCAAATTGGTGTTCTAGAAGTAGGTGCTTTTCTTGCTTCCAGTTTGGTATCTCTTAAAATATTATTTTAGAGTTCTAATCTGTATCTTAAGCCAGGTGCTGCCACTATCTGAAGACCCATATCTCAAGCCACTTGCTGCTATCATTAGAAGAGCTATTCGTATGGTTTCAGACATTCATATTATATACTACTTAATTAGGCTATTACCTCTTTTTTAGTACCATTGGCTACTGTATACAGTACCCAGGATCTTATTCAAGACCGCATTTTAAAATTGAATAGTACCCGTGGGTACTGTGTGATGAACCGGGTACTATTTTAGGGGGTACTATATATGGGGTATTGTATATGGGAAGTCTTGTGTAAGGATAATCATAAAAAGTATTCATTACACAAACAATGCTTCTTATAAACTTTAAATTAAACTTTAAATTAAACTTTAAATGAACCTTTATGACAAATCCTTCTTATAAGTATATCGAACAATCATTTTTTTAATTAATTTAATACTATGACTTTCAAAAAATTCAAATGTAGTAACAGACTTTTTTTTGAACTATATGTTAATCTGTTGAGAATGACACATCTGCCAAACTAAAAGAAAAAACTTGTCAAATTGTAATTGCATTAAGCCAAGAGACCACCTGTTGACAATAAAAAATTAAATAACTAGGTAGAAATTGAATCAAATAATTAAAAAAAATATATATATATATATAAAAAGTTTTTCTGAACAATTTCTTTGAAAATCTTATATAATGAAAAAACACTTGTGTAATTGAACATTTTATTAAAATCAAATGAATGATATTTTATTGAAAATTTAGATTCATAGATTAGATTATAATGAAAATTTATAAATTATCACTTATGACGGTTTCTTTAATTAATTTGTGTGATAGTTAAGGCATCTTATACCCCTATACCTACCTCGCAACTCTATAAAAAACACAAAAATTTTGATCAAAAAAAAATTTTTTTTCACCCAATTTTTAGTGTTTAAAAATGCCGAAAGAAATTTTAATACATGATAAGCAACAAATATACAAAAAAAGCACAGACAATGGAATGCCCATAAAAAATTGATGATTATATTTTATCAAGAAAGTGGACATAGTATTCATACAACGGCAAATAAATTTGAGATTGAACCAAAACAGATTTATGACTGGACAAATAAAAAAGAGGGTTAATACGTATAGCTCTACATATTTGATAATTAAACATTGGTGCAAGACCAAAGTACCCTTAGCTTGAGGAAGAACTTTTAGTATGGTTTCATGAGTTATGAAGGCAATTAAAAACAGTAACTAGATATATGATCAGTGCTAAAGCTCGTAGTTTAGCTGGCAAGCAAGAATATTATACCTTGTATCCTGATATTTATAAATATCAATTTTCATATAAGTGGGTAGATAGGTTTATATTTCGTCATTCATTGGTACACTATAGATATACTACAACTATACAAAAATTACCAGAAAATTATGCTGAATTACAGCAAAAATTTTTATCATTTGTTCTTTATTGGCGAACTAAATATAATTACCCTCTAAATTTAATTGATAATATGGATGAAACTCCTATGGCATTTAACCTGCCAAGTCAAACAACTGTTGAAAAACGTGGAGCACAAACCATTTCAATTCTTACAACGGGTCATGAATTTACAAATTTTACAATAACTCTTGCTTGTCTTGCAGATGGCACTAAACTCCCCCTTTTTATTATTTTTAAATTAGTTAATGTGCCACGAGAGCAGTTTCCTAATAGTATATATATTCATGCAAATCCAAGTAGCTGAATAGATGAAAAAGAAATGATTTGGTGGATAGAAAATATGTGGCGTCGGCGAGCAAATTTGGGTTCAAACCCACGTTCACTTCTTGTTTTAGATACATTTACTACACATAGAACTGATCCAGTAAAATATTGTTTTAATGAACAAAATACAAACATGGCTGTAATTCCATCTAACTTCACAATTACAACCATTAGATATGTCCTTGAATAAAGCATTCAAAGTAAAGATAGGCACTATGCACATGACTACTGCATGCATGCAATTAATTCTGGCCAGCATTATTATAACTTTAGCCAAAACATACATGCATACATGCATGCTAAAATGAAAATATTGCATTTTGCCCATCTCTAATTCAAAGCAAAGGTTAGTATTATATATAAAATCAAATTTCTAATTATATTATGATCTAGCCTCAATTGGCCAATAGTAAAACATTATATATAACTTGTATAATTTTTGTATAGTGATTTTTTTTAACAAACCTAACTAAAATTTTAAATTTCTGAGTTTTTGCCAGCCCGAAAAATTAATCAGTGCATGCAAAAAGTGCAATATTAATATAAGAATTTTTATTAATCTTTTATTTTATTTATTTATTTTTTTTATAACAGGTTCGCCATTCTTACAATAAGTGGATGGATGAATTCATAAAAAAATACACACTACCGTAGGTTTCCGAAAATAAGCTACCTTTTTTGGCCAAAAAAGTGACACAAAAATCATGGGGGTAGCTTATTTTCGGGTAAAGTTTCGAAAAGGTTGATTTTTATTATTTCTTTAAAATCCGGAAGTAGTTTCTATATATAAAAGTCAAAATTCTATTAAGTTAATCGATGAAAGTCACTTAATAGGAGTTGTTCAGAACGTAAAAATACACATATCCTGAAAGTTTGAAGCAAATCGGAGAACTTTCAGAATATGTGTATTTTTACGTCCTGAACAACTCCTATTAAGTGACTTTCATCGATTAACTTAATAGAATTTTGACTTTTATATATAGAAACTACTTCCAGATTTTAAGAAATTATCAAAGGTAGCTTATTTTCAGAATTACAAATATTTCTATGTTTCTTCTCCAAGAAAAAAGGGGGTAGCTTATTTTCAGAGGTGGCTTATTTTCAGCAATATATAGTATCTGGTAAAATCAAATGACCATTATACTTGCTTGTGACAACCTGGATTAAAGAAATATGGGATGATATTGACTCTACAATGATATGACGTTCCTCAAATGCTGTAGAATATCTACAGAAACAGATAGCTCCGAAAATAATGCAATTTTTGATTTTGAGAAAATGTTAAATGAGAAAGATATAAGAATTGGTGTTGAAGAAGAGTAAGAAAGTACTGAATTAATCTTGGAAGAGAGTGCTGAATTAATCCTGGAAGAGAGTGCTGAATCAATCCCGAAAGAGAGTGCTAAATTAACTCTGGAAGATAATAATAATGATTCAGAATGTGACTATTATGAAAAAGAAGAAGTAAATTACATTAATATTTGGGACTAGTCAATCGAATATAGCAATTTAAAAATAACATTTTTTTTTTGGAATTTTTTCTTTAATTCTGTATATTATTTATTTAGATATATGAAATTTTAGAAAGCACTTTTTTTTGTTCTTTTTTTTTTTAAATTTTTTTGAAATTCTCAATTTAATAGTAGTACAGATGATTTTCAAATATAACAATGATTAAATAATAAATATATAGTATATGAAAGTAATAGAGTTAGCTAATAAAACAAAATTTTTAGTAGTTATGTTCAAGGTAGCAAAGGTGTAATTTTATTTATATAAAAATTAAACAAGGCAAAGAGTGTGCTCTCTTAAAAGCTGATTAATATTTTATTTCATTTTACAAATTATGTAAATATTAACTAAACTTTAAGGAAAAGCTGATTAATATTTTATTTTGTCTTTACAAATTATGTAAATATTAACTAAACTTTAAGGAATTATCTATTATGAATAATTTACTAGAGGAGATAATCAAAACTCTTTCTGACAATTACCTGGACCAAAATTTCCCACCAAATGAAAACCAAAAATTTGTTGGAGAGAAGAAGACAGCGCTATAAGGTGGTTTTTGTAAAAGTCAACCTTTTACTCCAGAAACTCCTTTGCATATTCGGCATACAAACCAGAAGCATTAGAAAACAAGATAACTGGCAAGAGTTGGCACTCTTACTTTCAAAATTCTGGAAAGAAGGTGCTCATGAGAAGTTGGGGCCTTTTTGTTGATGAAGTAACTTATAATGCAAAAGAATAGAATAGAAGGAGAACAACAAATAAGTTTTTATAATGACACTCTCTGGAAATTTGGAGACTTTCCTTGAAATAGTGTACATCATGGCTTGGTTCGAAAGGAGCCTTAACGTGAGACATGGGAAAAGAGACCTATTATAGACACGGCACTTGTCGTTTAGAGGTAGTTCTCATACGCTACTTGCCGACAAGCTCAGAGTTTATCACTCACTGAAAAAACTTAGTACTATGCAGGCTTGGGTAGACATTTCTTTGGTGTTTCCTCTTGGTTTTTTTAGCTTCCTCTCGCTTTTGCTATTCTCTCCAAAATTTTCAAAAAAAAGTGGGCATTTGGGCTCACTCTCTCCAAAAGATCGGCAATGTTTACATCTTCTTAATTCAGACGTACTCAGTAGAATGCAACCACGTGTTTGTTTTGTTTATTAATACGGTGCTACAGTATGGAGAAGAGACCGGTACCCCTATTTAGGAGATACCCAAGTTTCGTCGGTGCCTAGAACGAGTCCTCTATAATAAAGCGATGTCTTACGATCGAGATATATTAATTAGTTGTAATTATTATATAATTTTTATCTTTATGCCTAACACAGGCTATAATAGTGTGTCATGGCTATCTTTCTTTTTTTTCGCTTTTTTCATCTTGGTTCATTTATGTTAGACTATTTTAGAATTTGTTGAAAGTTTTTTTTTC